GTCCTCTTGAAAGCTATTCAAACTCTGACTGTTAGAAAGTTTGCACAAACTAGTTGATTATAGTCATAGGTTATAGTAACTTTATTAACTTTGAGCGTTACATTTAGGCTTCAAAACTTCCAGGTTGGCCCTCAGAAATACTTCATTATCGCTGCAGCAATTTATTGGAAGGCATACAATATGTATATTTAATTACACTTAGTGAAAAAAGGAAATCATTAAAGTTAGCTAGTATATATATTTTTTTTCCAATTGTCTGATTCATGTATTTGATTTGCATATTACACTACCTCCAGCTCTTAACATAATCTTAATTAGAAGTGCGTTTCTTAAAGTCTTCTAAAATTTTCAAAACACCCTCCTGAGAGACTGTGGGCTGCGTGCCTCAAGCAAATACATGGATATTTATCTCTTCCTCATTCATCTGGCTTTGATAAAATGGATGAGCTTTTTAATCAGAAGGTAAACTGCGCTGTCTGTCACAATCATTCCAGAGGGCTTTTTAATTATTATTGCTTTTTATTTTTTAATTTATTTAAAAAACAATCTTTCTAAACAAAGAGACCATTATAGAGATTAGGAAGGGAAAAAAACATATTCATAAAAATTAAAGGCTATTAAAATAATAAATGGGACAATGGAAATAAAATAACAATAGACGCATAATTTGGAAGAACACTCTTTTAGTCATAGTCACTTCTGTACTTTTGAACAGATAGATGTTTCCTTGCAATCCCTCATTAACTTCGGAAAGTCTTTTTGAGTATGTATTCTTTGAAGAGTGTTTTTTTTTTCTCTATCTCTGCTCTCTTAAAGCTTCACTAAATGAGCAAGAAAAACAGTAACAATTAAAGAGCGCTTAAGCCTTTCACCCACTCCTCCAGCTAATTGGTGACACTGCAATTCGGTTTAGCCCAATTACACACTCTCTTTCACTCTTATGTTGATTAACGTTCATCCACCTCTCCCTTTTTCCTCCTCCTGTTTTTTTTTTTTTTTTTGTTAGGACAGAAGCCATATGAGGCCTGAAGTGTTGAATGAACAGGCTCATATCGCAGATGATGTTATTGGCGTCCCTGAACGCTGGCACTGGATGGAGATTGCAGGCAATTGATTTGACTTGTGTTACTGGCTAAAGCCGATTCTCTCCCACTCGCGATTTGGGTATAATGGGGCTTTTGTCCTTTGTGCCTATTAGAGCGAGTGAATACAAGATTATGTGTTATTGTGACTCATAAACATAAACAGGAGCGGGCGGGATGACGGATAGATGCAGGAAGTGGCCGTGATGGTGTGTGTGTTTCTGTCCTCAGCTCCGGTTTGTATGGTTGTTTGTATTGATTGTTTAATCCTCGTAGGCTGTTTGCTTTCTCGGGCGACGTTGGTAGATTGGCTTTCTTCATTCATCCTTCAGAGGCTTCTTGCTACCTGTGATAATCAATACTACAAGCAGATCACACTCTACACAACATGACTGAACAGACACTATATATACAGCAATGAAATAAATAAATAAATAAAACAAGAGGCCACTTCAATTTTTAAGTTTCTCTGGATTTATATGTGTATGGGTTTGTGTATATTTTTAATATATTTTTTATTTGTGTTTATTTTTTATATAAAGATCTTATTTATTCTAATTTTTAGTATTTAGCAGAACAGTCCTGGTTTTTAATCATGACAAGTGGGAAAATTTGTAATTCAAACATTTTATTTGATATTGGAAGACAGGAAGACCTTAATAGAACAATAGAATTTCACTTTAATTAATTAATGTAATTAATGTAATTCATTTCAAACATGCAGTGTTTTAAAAAGGTTTTAAACTTGTGAAACTCATTCTTGATCACATTTGACGTTGATTGATGATCACAGAGAGCTGAACAGATTTTTTGCGGTGGTCCTTAAAATGGGAGGGATTTGGATTCTATTTTAACATAAAAAAAATGGAAAGAAAGACTTATTGTCTTTATATCACCCCAGTATGACTGTGGACACACTGTTGATTAAAGAATGTGAAGTTAACAAAAGTTATGTGACTATATATATATATATATAACTAAAATTGCATGAATAAGCTCCACCTTGAAAATAAACATATTATGGAAATGTACTGTTTATGCTACACTTTGTTATTAAGTAAATGCAGACTTGGTGAGCGGAAGAGACTTCTTAAAAAAAAAAAAAAAGAAAACATTATACATCTAAACCTATTGACAGGTACAGTACTAACTGGTAGTCTTCTTAGGATAGCCATTACATAAACCTGAAAACAACTGTACTGTTCCTCAACAGCCTGTACAATAGTTACCCTATGCAATCATGTATTTTTAGGTAAGTACACTATAAGTACATGTTAAATACATGTAATATAAAACTTTTCCTGTCTTTTCTCTGACAATGTAGGCACAAACCGCTGCCATTTCCACTTAAAGTGCTTTCTCAGCGACTCATTGAGCAAACTGTCTATCCATCACATCCTCAAACACATTCAATATGGTTTCTGTCCTCAAACAACACCTTCATCAAACCACTTTTAAAAGAATGTGCTTTCATAAGTTTCTCAGTGAAAGTGCTCAGGCATTATTGAGTCTCATTCTCCACCCATTAGAAGCATTATCCAGCTCGTTAAGAATTAATTGCCCTCATCATTAATAGATTTAATAAGGGACCCCTGACTTGTGCTGATTGGGTTTTGAAATATGGTAGATGAAATGGTTGAAAAGCCGGTTTCAGACTCTTGCATTACCTCAACTACTCTATGATTAGTCCAGCGCTAATTTTAGCATTTGAACAGCTCCAGATGTAATGAGCTAAACCCCTAAATTTATGATGCTTAAGCAAAGAGACTGTATTAGAGCCCACATTCCCAAACTGTGCACTTGCAATACCCTTCCTATGGTGCAAAATCAAATCCTGCCTTCATATAACACCCCATATACTTTTTGCAGAGTCTCACAAAGCTTCAGATTGTCTGTCTTGAGATTGAACATTCTTCCTCTAGGCAGTGTGTCTGTGCGGTTGATGGTATGTATTTGTAATAATGCAGACTGAATGGGGGCACTGTTTGAATGTGAATGATGGGCAGATGACATTATTCTCGTATGCCCCTGTTTCTCTGATGTCCTTGTCAGTATGTTGACCCTTGGTTAAGCTCTGCATCCTTTCTGTTACTCACTCATACAAAGCCATAGTGTCCATATGGAATGATTTAAAGTTTTTAGCTTTATGTTAGGTTTAATGTGCTTATGAAGTAGTTGTAAACTGTAATATTATTTTTAAGAAATAATACAGAAAAAGTAAAAATGTATTTAGCAAAAATTAAGGTAGATAGTATAGATTTTCCAATTATTGACATAAATTACTAAATTACAACAGTGAAGAATTGTTGCAATATTATATAAATGTATGGTTTGCAATATACTTACAATTTGTGTGCATTTTAATTTGATGAATTATATTTTGTTTTATATTTAATTTAATAATTTGTTGGTGACTCAGTGGCGCAGTAGGTAGTGCTTTCGTCTCACAGTAAGAAGGTTGCTGGTTCGAGCCTTGGCTGGGTCAGTTGGCGTTTCTGTGTGGAGTTTGCATGTTCTCCCTGCGATTGCGTGGGTTTCCTCTGGGTACTCCGGTTTCCACCACAGTCCAAAAACATGCGGTATAGGTCAGTTGGGTAGGCTAAATTGTCTGTAGTGAATGAGTGTGTATGGATGTGTCCCATTGATGGGTTGCAGCTGGAAGGGCATTTGCTGCATAAAACATGTGCTGGATAACTAGGCGGTTTATTAAGCTGTAGCTACCGCCAATTAATAAAGGGACTAAGCCGAAAACAAAATGAATGAATAATTAATTTGTTGTTTTGTTCTTGCATTAAATAAAATAAAATAATAATAATTCTAAATGGCAATTACATTTTTTGACTTTTTTTATTTTATAAATACACTACCGGTCAAAGGTTTGGGGTCAGTACGATTTTGAAATAAAATAGGAGCAGTGGGTAGAACGATTGCCTCACAGCAAAAAAAGTTTCTGGTTTGAGCCCCGGCTGTGTCAGTTAGCATTTGTGTGTGGAGCATGTTCTCACTGCGTTTGCATGGGTTTCCTCTGGGTGCTCCGGTTTCCTCCACAGTCCAAAGACAGGTGGTGATTAAATAAGCTAAATTGACTGTAGTGTAGGCGTGTGAATGTATGGGTGTTTTCCAGTGTTGGGTTACAGCTTGAAGGGCATCCGCTGTGTAAAACTTATGCTGCATAAGTTGGCAGTTTATTCCGCTGTGTCGACCATGGATTAATAAAGGTACTAAGCTAAAAAAAAAATGAATGAATGAATTTGTCCATGAGTTGTGACACTCATCTCTCCTACATTGTAGGCAACACTACCCACTTGTCTACTAGTGCTTTATCATGTACTGTACTGCAGCAGATGCTGGCCGAAAACTGGGCATGGAACAAATAAATAAATAAATCCACAACAACAACAACAAAATGGATTGTGTATGACTCCCAAATGCTATTCCCCTCTATACTTCAGCTCTGTGCATTTGTCATCATGTTGTGTGAATTCTGCCAATGGTAAAAAAAAAAAAAAAAAAAAAAAAACACAAAGAGGAATGCTGCTTTTTATTTGTGCATTTAAAATTACTAGCCCTTCTCAAGGCCAGCATTTTTTTTTAATATGATCAAACATCTCCCGTCTTTCCAAAAATAGACGTTGTGCAGTCTATGGCTTTAGAGAGAAAATCAGCCCTGTTCACTGCACCGGCTGGCATTGCGTATAGAGTATGATTGACACAACTGTCAGTTCCATAAGGCATTGATTCTTTCATGCTGGATGAACTTGTTTATTATTGATTGTGGGATTTGAAATACAAATATGAAACAGCTGTCCTCAGTCTAGCCTCTGAGGTTAGTGGAATGTTTTCCACGATTGCGATTACAGACTCATGAATTTGATTTGATTGACTGATCTATTGATTTTCTGTGCGTTTTGTCTCCAGCTGTTTCCTGTCCCTGCTGTTGGTTGCGGCTGTGGTTTGGAAAGTCAAACAGACGTGCTGGGCATCACGCAGGAGAGAGGTAACATCTGCACAACATTGATGGGTCCAAACCTAAGTGCCAATTACATGTGGGTTCTTGTTAAAGTTGAAACGTTTAACACCAGAACCATCAGGGATCATTATACACCGAAAATTGTCAGCAAATAAAATTTACACATGCACTACTGTTTATGCCCAAAACATGTATTACATTGCTGCATTACACTGTGTCCTAACAACACATCACAAGATTCCCGTGACATGCAATTTGTCTTTCTGCACCAGACACGACATGACAGAAACATTTCAAGGTCTCGTGAAGTGCTTTGAAATGTGCATTTTTATTCTAAATTTGATGTACTGTAATCTCAATTGAAACATGAAGACAGGGTGAGAAATACAGTATCATAGCTTCTCTTTTTAATAAATATATAAAAAAACAGCCAATAGCGTTTTGTTTTTGAGAGTTTAAGTGCATCACATCAAAAGCAAATGAAAAGCGTCTTGAAGGGAAGGGACATTGGTCAGAAGATTTGATGAACACAATAGACAAGATAAATACACACAAATAATACTAAACTTATTACAGTTTTATTTGTCTTAACCCTTGTATGTATGACCAAAATGACACAGTACTTTAAAATGTTGCTGTGTTATGTATATTGCAGCATTGACATCATGACCTGAAGTCGAACGAACGTACATAAAAAAGTTACACTGCACCCAATCACCTTGTGCTGAATTATGATGTTTTACATGGAACACGTATGAATTGAAAAGCCTTGTTTCAATTAAATTATTTGCAATGTAACTGTATGGTTATATATTTTTGATATGTTGAGTCCTAATATATGAGGATTGTAATTACGTCATTGTGAATGGCATCGTTTTGTTTTAGCGTAAAAGAACCTGTGATCTGTTTTTTATTTATTTTTTTAACCAGTTCATTAAAACGAATAGTCTGAAAAATCTGGCTTGCGGAAAAAAATCGAACCATTCCATCACTAGTTGATGGAGATCTTTTCTTAGTTTCAGTAGAATCAACTGTGTTTTTAATGTAAAATGCAATGTTGAAAAAGACCTCCAAAACACTTTATTCAGCCAAGTGTGATGTCACATGAAGCAGCTTCTGGGTGCAAATGCTATATTAAACTGAATGGGGAGGCTCATCAAATGGTAATAAAAAGTGTTTACGTATGTATGTAACAATGCATTATATTCAAAAATTACAATTGCAATATATATACAGTTGAGGTCAGTATTATTCTTTTTTAAATATTTCACAAATAATGTTTACATAGCAAGAACAATTTTCACAGTATATCTGATAATATTTTGTCTTCTGGAGAAAGTCTTATTTGTTTAATTTCGGCTAGAATAAAAGCAGTTTTTAATTCTTTAAATTAATTTTAAGGTCCAAATTATTGGTCCCTTTAAGCTATTTTTGTTTTCGATAGTCTACAGAACAAATCATTCTATTCTGTTTAGAAATGTGTTAAAAAAAATCTTCTCTCCATTAAACAGGTGAAAAAATGTCTGCTAATAATTCAGGGGGGCTAATAATTCTGACTTTAACTGTATATATATATGTATATACATATATATCATATCATGCCTAATATCAGATGGCCAGAATTTATATCAAATAATTTAAATATTTATATTAAAATGATTTTATATAAAAATCCCTTAAATGTGTGATATGACTAAAAAGTAGTCATAAATAAATATTTTCTCAATTCAAATGAGTAGCGGCTTGGACCCAGAAACAGTATTTCATACGTCACAACTTAACAACCAGATAGCATATGGGTTATGGTGTGGGACCTCCAATTTGTGCAACCAATTGTAAAGCCAGAAATGACACACATTAGCTTTCCTGTGTTTGAGCCCCCACATGCATTTACCGGTTTGTGTTAGCTTGGGTTGTTATTGCTTTTACCATCTGTGACCTCCCATGATGCTCCTGGGTGTAGTTGATCTTTGTAAAACGTCTTATGACTTTAACCTCATTATAGTTTATGAAACACTGTCATGCAGCGTTACTGTGCTCAGATCAGTTAAAGCTGCTCGTTTTATAACGCATTCCTCCTGGTGTCTGATGGGTGTGTAAATGTCAGCCGAACTGCGTCCTTTTAATGAGAGAGGCGCAACAATAAACGCCGCCATTTTCCTTCATTACCCATCTTCACAAACCAATTAACCCTGACAGGGGCTCATGTAGAAGGAATGGATTAGTGTGATGTATCTGTCTAAAAGCCCCAACAGATGCCACCTTCTCTCTCTGTCCTTTTATTCTTTCGTTTGTGTCATTTTAGTGGCTGTGTAAATGCAAATGGGAATTTGCAAACGAGTTGTCATTGAGCGTTTCATAATCAATACAATAATCAAGGACTTGGTAATTGAAAGCTTGTCGAGAGCCATAAGTGTGGAGTTTATTGGAGTTAAATGTGTGCACTTTTCAACCATGGCTGTCACAGTTGTGTTTCACTTTTCATCGAATATCTACTTGTAAAACGGGCATTTAGATAATGGAATCGTTTTAATCAAATAAAAGACTTCATGCTTTGTTCAGCGGCCAAAAACCATTTTGACTAGAGAAATGGAAACACAATGTGATGATTTGATAGGGATGCTACAGTAAATAATTCATCAGTTCAAAGTGTGGTGTACTTTATTGTAGAGACTGGCATCAGAACCAGAGTACTCAGCCGTGACAGCCATGAAAACAATACAACATTGTTTTTCAAACTTCTCACACAAGTTGGAATTTAGTCAACATATCAAAAGGAACATTTTTTTATAATATTTTATTTATTTATTTATCGTGGTACCTTGCAAGCTGATCCTTCAGACAGTAGTTTGTGTCAAGTCCAGGTCAGCACTCAGTGTTTTGCAAGGCTTGTACACATTTTTCTTTTTAGATGCAGCACAACTGAACTGAACAGAATGGAGTTTTGAGACTCATCAATGTTTTGTGAGACACGGTGCTTTTAAAAGTGCTCCTTTTAACTTGACAACGTGGCATTCATAGTTCAAGGCATTCAATAAAAACTGCGAGAACAAAGGCAAGGACAAGAGATACAAGAGATCCGACACGCCATACAACACACAATTTATATCAAGCAGATTTGTAGAGAATGGATTAGAAAATTGCAAGACTGAATTGGAATTAAACTAGTGAAAAGTAACCAGAATTAAAATTTGAATGTTTCAAGAGTTCATGCTTAGATATTGCTTGATACTAAAAGCAGTTTTGGCATGCTGTCCCCGGAGAGAACTCTAAAATCAGAAATAATTGAGGTACTGGCTCCTGCCTGGTCATTTAGCATGAAAAGGTGGGTCTGAGATCAGGTAGGACTCGGGAGCCCCCGATGGTGAAGGAGAAAAAGGTTCATCTGGGATTCTTCAAAAACGAAGATAAAGGAAGGTTATAGATGTATAATTGTAGGCTTGGATTAATTTTAATTGGTTTATTGATGATAGTATAGGTGATTGTAGATGAGAGACCAGCCACCATCAATAATATAATGTGCTCTTCTCGAAATTAGTTTATAAAACTTCACAAAGTGATTACTCTAAAATTAACTAAAATAAAAATTCAATAAAGTGTTTTTTTGTAGCTTTTTATGACAAAATCTTGTGTTAGGTCTAAAAAAGTTCATAAAATGTGAATGTTTTGTGTTCACAGTTGTGTTTAAAAATGTCTGTACCTATATCAGTAACCTCTTGAACCCTTGTCCTTAGCAGTAGTGATATTTGTGAGTTTCAGATGATTTAATTGTGGATGTTGTAGTGTTGCTTGGTCATGTGTTGCTTGTTTTAAGCAATTAGCTAATGGACTGAAAGATGATTCATTCTATGGAAAAAAAAAAGTTTAAAAAATGTCATTGATATTTTGTTTTTATCTAGGAGTTGGTGTTAAAATATATTTATTTCTGAACTGTAAAACAACATGGGTGAAATAGCGCAATTAAGGTAAACAAATGACTGGAAATGGAAGATGTATAAAAAAGTTCAGCAAATAGGATGCTCATCTAAAACATGAAACACACTGAACAACAAACAACTACTGTCAAAACGGATCGAAGATTCTAGCTAATTATCATCTCCAGACAGACCAAAAAAGAAGATCTAAATAAAATACCTGCAAGTTCAGTTACAGCCAGAAGACCTCCGATGGAATCTCAACAACACATTTGAGCAAAAAGCCCCCATAAATCACCATAAATGAAAACAAAACAAAAAACAAGAAAAAAAGCCATGCACACTTCAAATTGGGTAGTCTAAATATAAATGTAGACTCATGAGAAAAAAAAAAAATTTCTTGGTTTGTCTAATGGTATGTCTGATGACCCCTCGGGTACCAAATTTAGGGCGTACTCTCACCATGCTATCCGAACCATGCCCAGGCCCGTTTCCTGGATCGTTTGAGAAGTGTGAGTGCTCTGAATCAGGCTCAGGCACTGTTCACTTGGCCACCGGTTGGAAGAGGTTGGCCTGAGCGCAGTTCACGTGGGTTTTGGCACTGTATGCTTGTAGTGTGAGTGCAAAACGCGCCAAAGCCCGAAACTGAAAGCGAGACGTGACTTTTATGGTTTCATATGGATTTATTAATCATTCTTACTGTTCAGTGAACGCAAACTGCCGTAGTTTATTAAATACGCAAACCCCTCACTGCACCACAGCTGTGCACCTTCAGCAAACCTCCTCATTCCTGCAGCACGAAGGCTTTATGACTGTTTATAAGCGCCAAAAGTGGCGGATCTGTTCGACAAAATATCTGACTGCGTGTCATCACATCCTTAAGGACTGTTTGGCAAAATATTTGACTGCATGTCACTGAATGTCAAATGACTTTAACAATATAACTACAGAAATCTCTACTGTGTTGAGCGAGAACGCTTACTGAACAGTGCAGCATCGATGACGTAAGCGTGCCCAGGCCCGATTGTAATGTGAGTGCGGGCCATCGGGGGAGACGGGAGGGGGGAAAAGCGTGCTTTGGCCCGGATTGAGGCAACTGTAGTGTGAGTTTGG